GATGACTGAAAAGAGGAAAAACCAAAGTGAAGTATGTTCTTACTTCACTTAGTCATTTATTTACTTTATAACAGTAAATAAATATAGGTTCTGCGTATCGGTTATCGGGCACATAAACATGCAAATAATTGGTATCAGTTATAAAAAAAATCAATATCGGTCGATCACTAATTTTAAGATACAGTGCCTTGCAAAAGTATTCATTTTTTTCACATTTTGTTATGTTGCTGCCTTATGTTAAACTGCTTTAAATTACTTTTTTCCACATCAATCTACACTCAATACACCATAATGGTAAAGCAAAAAACTGTTTTTTAACATCTTTGTAAATTTATTAAAAATAAAAAACTTAAATGATTCCATTGCATAAGTACTCATACCCTTATCTGGGACAGTTGAAATTTAGCTCAGGAGCATTCATTTTGCTTGTAGATGTCACTACACTTCAAGTGAAGTTAACCTGTGGCAAATTCAATTGAATGGGTATAATTTGGAAAGGCACATACGTCTTAATTAAAGGTCTAACAGCTGATAATGCATATCAGAGCAAAAATCAAGCCCTGAGGTCAAAAGAACTGCCTGTAGAGCTCAGAAACAGGTTTGCATCAAGCCACACATCTGGGGAAGAGTTCAGAAAAAATTCTGCTTCATTGAAGGGTCACAGAAGCATGTAGTCTCTGTTACCCTTGATGGAAAAAGTTTGAAACAACCAGGACTCTTCCTAGAGCTGGCCTCCTGGCCAAACAGAGTAACTGATGGAGAAGGGCTTTGGTTAGAGTGGTGAACAAGAAGCTGATGGTCCCTCTAGTTGAGCTCCATGATCATATATGCAGATGGGAAAAATCTACAGAAGGACAAATATCACTGCAACACTCCACCGATCTGTGCTTTATGGCGGTGTGGCAAGACTCAATCTTCTCTTCAGTGTAGACACATGAAAACACACTTGGATTTTGAAAAAAGGACCTAAAGGACCCTCAGACTGTGAAAAAACAATATTATCTGGTCTGATGAACCTCAATTCCAAGCATCATGTTTGAAGGAAACCAGCTCTGCTCATCACCTGCAGAGTACCATCCCAAAAGTAAAGTGTGCTGGTAGCAGCCTCATGCTGTGGGGCTGTTTTTCAGTGGCAGGGACCAAAGGACTCGTCAGAGTAGAAAAAGCTCAATGCACCAAAATATTGAGATGACCTTAATGAAAACCCAGTCCAGAGCATTCAGAACCTCAGACTGAGCAGAAGGTTCACCTTCCAACAGGACAATGACCCTAAGCACACAGCAAGAGTGGCTTATAGACAACTCTGTGAATGTCCTTGAGTGGCCCAGACAGAGCCTGAGCTTGAACCCAGTCAAATATTTCTGGAGAAACCTGAAAATGTCCATCTGCCCCCATCCAAGCTGACAGAGCTTGAGAGGTGAAGAGGCGAGGTGAAGAATGGCAGATAATTGCCAAATGCTGATGAGAAAAGCTTGTCGCATCAAACAAAAAACACAAAGGTGTAAAGGTGCTTCAGATAAATATTTAGTTAATATTTATGCAATGTACTTATTGCAGTTTTTTTATTTTTAATACATTTACGAAGTTGTGACAATTCTGTTTTTGCTTTGTCAGTATGGTGTATGGAGTGTAGATTGATGTGGGAAAAAAAGTAATTTAAAGCAGTTTAACATAAGGCAGCAACATAACAAAACGTGAAAAAAATGAAACGCACTGTATGTGTGTTTTTCCCAATCCAGCCTAAAATTAACCTAAAATTAGTCTGACACCCTTAATAAATAACTCAGAAATGCTTCTGATTGGTGTCTTGTGAACATTACCCTGAACTAGCTTACAGTAATTACACAGGGTTTTCTTAACACAGACTAGTTACTGAGACCACCCACTGACTTATCAGTTTTGACATCCTTCATCAAAAACACCTCATAAACGAGAAAGGAGGAGGAAACACTTGAGGAATGTCTCCAACAGATCTCGCTCTCACTAATTAAACGTGATGGAGAGATGTTGTTAGCCATTCTAACATCACTTTACAGCTCTATTCCCAGAGCAGAGACACAATCATCCATCTCTCCCTTCACCCGTCTAATTAAACTATACACTGCTGCTGCACAGTGAAAATAAAGGGCCTGTGTTGGTTTAAAGGAGCCATATTCTAAACTTCATTCTCTGCACTACGAGTGCTGCTTTTTTTTAAGACACTGTGACAAGTTAAAAGAAGTTTGACTTTTAATAACACATCTCGAGACTCCTGTGTCCTACTTCCTTCCATTCAGTCAGTGTTAACCCTGTACATTCACTGTAAATCTGGTCTAATATCATGGATTCGATGGTGATATCTATATAGTGAGGATAAATCTGTGCTGATAGAGATCAGAGTTTCTCCAGAGCCTCAGGTGGATCAGATGCACTGAACATACTGCTGCCTTCAGGCTGTTCTCTAACACTCTGACTTCCACATTTTCTTTTTTCGCCTTCTTTTACACTTAATCTTTCCATCTCTCGCAGGTTCTGAGGATTTGTGCATAGACAGCAGAATAAAAGATAGTTATTGTGCTATGTGTGATCTGAAGTCTCTTACAGGACTCGAGTAGAAGGATGAATTAAATTGATCAAAAGTGATGAAGACAAAATGTTATAAATAGTTCAATTTCCACAAAAGAAGAAATAAGAAATGTTTCTTGAGCAGCAAGAACAGACTTTATGCTGATAATCAGATGTCTGGCTTTGTGACGAGGGAAGGATCATCTGAGCCAGTGGGTGTTTGAGTTGATCTGAGAGTGCGTGTTATGCGGTACAGAGGATGTGTGTGATTTATTTGCGGAGGGAATGCTGTGTGTACTCACCGCTCTGCCACTGTCCTCATATTCGATCTTGAGGTTGCTCATGGCTTTAATGATGGCCATGATGGACTGGATGGTGTTACTGTAGACCACAGCTCGATACTGCTTGCACTCTTCCTCCGAGTAGCCGTCCTCATGAATAATCCTGCATAACGAACATACAGACGATCAATCAATCATCAGTGTGGTATAGTATATTTAGCCCTCATTAAAATTTAATTTGCATTGTTTTAATGTGATTTATATATATAATACAAGATAATGTGTGTGTATGTGTCTATATATATATATATATATATATATAGACACACACACACACACACACACACACACACACACACACACACACACACACACACACGTATATTATGAAGCGGCATACAAGAAGTAGTTATATAAAATCAGAATATATCAATGTAAATAGTGAATATTTAAATAAGTAAATAAGAATATATAGTTGTAAGTCTGAATATATAGAAGTAAATCTGATTATATTTATAAATCAGAATATTATCTATTAAATTAAATATCAAAAGTGACAGTAAAAACTTTTACATTGTTAAAAAATTATTTCAAATAAATACTGTTTTTAAACCTTCTATTCATCAAAAATAAAAACATTAAAATAGACAAGTTATTTTAAATTGTAATAATGTCCGTTTTGATTTGACTGTGTTTTTCTTTTCGATAAAATAAATGCAGACTTGGTGTGCATAAGAGACTTCTTTCAGAATCATTACAAATTTTACCAACCCTAAACTCAATATTAATTGTAAATATAAAGCTAAATAAATATTTGTTATATTCACCAGAAAAAGCAAATGTAAACATGCATAAATAAATAAATAAATAAAACAGAACAAATTCAGGATGGCACAAAAGACAAAGAGGTAAGAACTAGGCCTGTCACGATAACTTTTTGTTGTGCGATATTTTGCCCCATAAAAAAATTGCGATAAGCGATATTATTGTCATTTTAAGACCATTTTATGACAGATTTTTCCCTGACCTTCTTTTCTCTGTAAATTAAGGGTTCACACTATTTCTGAAAAACACAATCCCTACTTAGCAGTCAGATGTCTGTCCGTATGCACAAAGGCACAGATCCCTAAACAAGGCCATATCTGCAGATTAAACTTTTTTTGTAGAAGCATTTTTAAATTTGAACTAGCACATGACTACACCACGTTATGTACGAGAAGCTGCAAAAAACACAGGCGCAAGTGGAAAGTACAAAAAAAATTGTATTGTGTTTTTTATAGTGTTAGGCGATATATTGCTTCACCAAAACGTATTGAGGTCATGTACATATATTGTGCGATAAGTCGATATATTGATTATTGCGACAGGACTAGTAAGAACATTAGGTTTTAACCCAAAGCCTGGCTTTAGTATCCAGATATAAAATATAAAATGTATTAATATGAACAGGCTTTTGCAGTGAATGGAACTTAGCCACTGAATTGATTTTAAGTGCTGGTGGGAATTGTCCTGTGGAACTTGTCAGCCTGCAAATCTATGGAGATTTTTTTTTTTAATATAGTCAGCTCTGGCTCAGTAGTTCAGAGGAAAATCTCTGAGGATAGAACCAGAGAGCCAGTTCACCGTGTATCACTCAAATGACAGTCAGACGCCATTTAAAACACCTTTAAAGGGAAAATACAAACAACCTTCTCCAATATAGCCAAGCACATCTAGAGTCATTTTATAATAATGTAATTCAATTATTAAAGAATGAATGCTGCGATTACACCCCAGGTCAGAGTGTGTGTGCCAGGATGCATTCAGTGATGAGAGATGGAGTACAAAACATTTTCCATTAGAATGATTAGACTGTAAAATTGCTTTGGGAAACAGAGGTGTAAAAAGAGCAGCAGAGGTCAAGGTCAGATAAACAGTATTAACTGCTAAAACTTTAACAATGTGATAATTTATGATAATGATTATTGTAAATGTAATGATTTAATACTAAATTCTTATCAAAATTTTTTTATTAAAATCAAATGAAACTTTACAATTTCTTTTTATTGTTTGGCAAACAGTAAAATTGCTGCACAACAGAGGTTTTCTGTTCAAATTAAAACTTCGAAGAAACAATGTGTGATATTTCTTAAAAATAAGGTTGTAACAATTTTATTATTATCATTATCATCA